TGCTGATATACTGTGGATATTAATCCTTTTTCAGATAGTAGCTTGCAAATATTTTCCCATTCTGTTGGATGTCTACTCACTCTATTGATAGTTTCCTTTGCTATGCAGAAGCCTCTAAGTTTGATATAATCCTTTTTGTTTAGTTTTGCTTTTGTTACCTGTACTTTGGGGGTCTTATCCAAAAAGTCATCATCTACACCAATCATCGTGGAGTGTTTCCCCTGCATTTTCTTCCAGCAACTTCATAGTCTCAGATCTTAAATTTTGGAGTTTGACCCATCTTGAGTGGATACGGTGAGAGGTATGGATCTAATTTCAGTCTTCTACATATATACATCCAGTTTTGCCAGCATTATTCATTGATGAGATTATCTTTACTCCAATGTATGGCCTGAGCATTTTTGTCAAATACTAGTTGGGGGCTGGCACTATGGCGTAGCAGGTAAAGCCACCAGTGCTGGTTCAAGTCCCAGCTGCTCCACTTCCAATCCAGCTCTGTGCTATGGCCTGGAAAGCAACAGAAGATGGCCCAAGTCCTGCATGGGAAGACCCAGAGGAAGCTCCCAGCTCCTGGCATCAATTCAGTGCACCTCTGGCCATTGTGACAAACTGAGGAGTGAACCAGCAGATGGAAGACCTCTCTCTCTCTCTCTCTCTTCCTCTCCTCTCTCTGTGTAATTCTTTCAAATAAATAAATAAATCTTTTTTTAAAAAGTAGTTGGCTGTATGTACATGGATTGATTTCTGGGGTCTCTATTCTGTTCCATTGATCTGTGTTTCAGTTTCTATGCCAGTATCATGCTGTTTTAATTACTATAGCTTCATAGTATGCTTTGAAGTCAAGTATTGTGATATTTCCAGCTTGATTTTTTTTCCTTAAGGATCACTTTGGCTATTCTAGATTTTTGTTATTTCACATGAATTTTAAGATTGCTTTTTCTAGTCCTGTAAAGAATGATTTTGGTATTTTGATAAGGATTGCATTGAGTCTGTAGATTGCATTAGGTAGTAGAGACATTTTAATGATATTGATTCTCCTAATCCATGAGCAAAAAATATTTTTCCATTTTTTGTATCCTTTCTGATTTCATTCATCAGTGTTGATTTATAAATTTTTATTTATAATTTTTACTGTAGAGATCTTACGCTTCTTTGGTTAATATTTTAATTTTTGTGGCTACTGTGAACGAGAGTTGTTTCTTGGTTTCTCTTTCAGTAATTTCATTACTGGCAGATAAAAAAAAAAACTACCATTTTGTGTCTGTTTACTTTGTAACCTGCAGTTTTACTGAGTTGGTTTATTAGTTCTAACAGCATTTTCGTGGAATTTTGAGGTTTCTCACGTCATCTGCAAACATGGATAATCTGACTTCCTCTTTTCCAGTTTTGATGCCCTTTATTTCTCCTCTCTGATTGCTCTTCCTAATGTTTCCATTACTATATTGAGTAAGAGTGGTGAAAGTAGACATCCTTTTCTTGTTCCAGATCTGAGTATTCAATATTATTTTGCATTCAGTATTATATTGGCTGCTGATTTGTCACATAATTTTGCCATTATAATCTTGAGGTATGTTCCTTCTATACCTAATTTATGGAGGCTTTTTTTTTATTGCAAAGGGGCATTGAATCTTATCAAATTCTCTCTCCACATCTATTGAGATGACCATATGGTTTTGTCCTTCATTCTGTTGATGTGATGTGCTATGTTTATTGATTTGTGAATGTTGAACCACCCTTGCATCTCTTGGATAAATCCCACTTTATCATGCTGTATGGTCTTTTTGATACAGTTTTCGATTCATTTTGCTATTATTTTGTTCAGAATCTTTGCATCTGTGTTCCTCAAAGGATATAGGTCTGTAGTTTTCTTTTTGTGATGTATCTTTGTACAGTTTTGGTATCAGAGTGGTGCTGTTAGGCCCATATTTTAATTCCATTAGCATGATGCATTTCTGTAGCCAATGAGATAGCAATGACTAGAACACATTATTCTTTTTTCAAAGATTTATTGAGCATCTACTCTGTTGCTGGGGCACTATGCTAGACTGCTGAGATAGTTATGAATAGGATGATATAGTCCATTCTTTTGTCCCACACTTATACTAGCACACAAAATAGGCAAAATATATTTACAGTAGAGGGTGAAACATTATTATGAAAAAAGAAAGCATTAGACCATGGTTCTGTTATTTTTCGCTACATCTTAACTCCAACTAAAATTCAATCAAGTTACTCATAGAGAAATTGTTCCTTTCCTTAGGTTTGTTTTTGGTTTAGGTAAAATTCAAGGGCCCTTCAGCCTTAGTCCAGGAATGCAAAGAGAAGATTTCAAGATGGTATTTTGTACTTAAAACCTCATCAATGTCAAAGGATACTTATTATTCAGGTTGACTCTGGTGTTTTAGAAGGTGATTCTGGGAGCCCGTGCTGTGGCATTGTGGGCTAAGCCTCTGCCTGTGGCTCTGGAATCCCATATGAGCACCAGTTCATGTCCCAGTTGCTCCTCTTCCAATCCAGCTCCTGCTTATGGCCTGGGAAAGCAGTGGAAAATAGCCCAAGTACTTGGGGCCCTGAACCAATGTGGGAAACCCATTAGAAGCTCCTGGCTCCTGGCTCCTGGCTCCTAGCACCTGGCTTTGGATTGGCTCAGTTCTGGCTGTTGTGGCCATTTGGGAAATGAAGCAGCAGATGGAAGACCTTTCTCTCTGTCTCTCTTTCTCTCTGTCTGTAACTCCACCTCACAAATAAATTTTGAAAGTCAGAGCTACACAGAGAGATGAGAGGCAGAGAGAAAGTGGAGTCTTCCATCTGCTGGTTCACTCCCCAGTTGGCCGCAACAGCCAGAGCTTTGCTGAACCGAAGTCAGGAGTTGGGAGCCCCTTCCAGGTCTCCCACATACCCATGTGCAGGGGCCCAAGGACCTGGACAATCTTCTACTGCTTTCCCAGGCGATAGAAGAGAGCTGGATCAGATGTGGAGCAGCTGGGACTCAAACCAGCATCCATAAGGGATGCTGGTATTGCAGGAGGTGGCTTTATCCACTACGCCACAGTACCGGCTCCCAGTAAAATCTTTTTTAAAAAAAGAAAAGAAAGTGATTCTGGAAGTTCTGAATTCTGTTGGTTCTAATACCTGTTTCTAGCTTTCACAAAAAAGTGAATTTGTACTATTTTTATGTTTATTTTTATTTGCTTTCATCTACTTGAAAGGGGTGGGGCAGAGAATCTTCCATCTGATGCTTCAATGCCCAAATGCTTTCAACAGCCAAGTCTGGGCCAGGCTGAAGTCAGAAGCCTGGAACTCCATCCAGGTCTCCCAAATTGGTGGCAGGGACCCAAGTACTTAAGCCATTATCAGCTGCTTCCCAGGTTGCATTAGCAGGAATGCAGGAGCCAAGGTGCTGGGACTCAAAACTGGTACTCCATTATGGGATGTGGACATCCCAAGCCACATCTTTAACCTGCTGAGCCACAAAGCCTGCCCCAGATTTGTAGCATATTTTTCAAACATTTGTCATTCAAAACACCATGTGTTGCTATGATCTGCTTTGCGGCACATAAGATGAGAAGCGGCTGCGAAGGATCTGTCTGCTCTTCACTATTTAACTGTGTAACTTTGGACCTCTATTGGCCTCACTTTTTTCTAAAAGGCTAAATGACCCTTAATCGCCCCGAGAATTCTGACTTGGTGACACTAAATAGAGGACGTCTTATGCTGCACCGGCCTCTTCCTCTTGCCCTCTTCTTGGCTTTAGCAATAATTAGAAGGCTCCCCATCACCACTGAAAGGGATACTGAATGACCTGCTTTTCTAATCTGGACACTGCGCATCCCTTGATCTGACGCCTGAGGCTTCACTGTCTACCTGCTCATCCAGTCTGAATGAGTGGCCTTGGGCCAGCTCCCTGAGGAATGCTGCAGATTCAATGAAGGAGAAGGCTGCCCTCTCAGCTACTTTTCACCACCCAGCTATCTGTCTTCTCTATGGCTCTAGCTGTTTCCAAGGGTCATGTTTGAACTCAAAGGACCCTCCTAGATCCATGATATTTTCACCAGTGTGACTGATGGTATCCTTATTTTATAAAGACATTATTCTGCCTGCACCTGCCTGGTCAAATTCTTTCCAAAGAGACACCAGCTAGATTGTGCCAAGTCCCCTCCTTGAGGAGAACGGTAGCCCGGATAGTGCTCTTGATTCCAGTCCTGCCTAGCTCAGGCTTGCTCTCTGTCCCTGACAAGCATGACTGACATCCCCATTTATTCTCTGTCAAACCTCCTCAAGTTATGACAGATGTAGCTACATGTATATTTACATGTAAGAGCATTGATCCCTAAGCTAAGTCTTAACCATTTTTCAAAATTAGCATTTCCATAGAATTAACTCACTCTAAAAAACTCATTTTAAAATACATATATGTGTCTGTGTGTATGCCTGTATGTATATATACTCAGAACTGGCTCTGAAATTAGCTTTTAGGTTTTTTTTTTTTGTATTGTTTTTTGTTTTTGACAGGCAGAGTGGACAGTGAGAGCGAGAGACAGAAAGGTCTTCCTTTGCCATTGGTTCACCCTCCAATGGCCACCGCGGCCAGCACGCTGCAGCTGGCGCACCGCGCTGATCCGATGGCAGAAGCCAGGTACTTATCCTGGTCTCCCATGGGGTGCAGGGCCCAAGGACTTGGGCCATCCTCCACTGCACTCCCTGGCCACAGCAGAGAGCTGGCCTGGAAGAGGGGCAACCGGGACAGAATCCGGAGCCCCGACCGGGACTAGAACCCGGTGTGCCGGCGCCGCAAGGCAGAGGATTAGCCTAGTGAGCCGCGGTGCCGACCAGCTTTTAGTTTTAATTTAAAAAATTAACCTGTAGCTTTTGGACTTCTTCCTAAATAAATAACTGAACAGTTTGAAGAAATATGATCAAGCTATGTAGAGCAATATAATAATTTTTTGACCTCACATCTCGCTCTTTCAAAATGTATTTTACTTTTCTGCAATTGTCAGAGCTTCTCCTTGTGAAGCTGAGCTTCAGGAATTAATGGAACAAATTGACATCATGGTAAGCAACAAAAAAATGGATTGGGAAAGAAAGATGCGGGCTTTGGAGACACGATTAGATCTTCGAGATCAAGAGTTGGCAAATGCACAAACCTGTTTGGATCAGAAAGGTCAAGAGGTACTGAATACATGTGTTAAGAACTTGTTAATTCATCAGACTCCCATATATAGTGTTTATTGCATCGGATTATGTATTTCATCGCATATACTTTTTACCAGGCATCAGTGACAGCACTTACTGTTTGAAATGCTGTCAGCAAACAGTTTGCTAAATGTAATTTCTCAAATAAGTAGCAGATACTAAATCCATAGATGTAGCTGATGAAGGTAGACATATGGTGTCAACGCCATCTGTAAAAGTAAACATTGAACATGTATGTGAAAAAAATGCTGTTTGTAAGCAAAGATGCAAATGCTTCTGCTGCTATAGAAACAAATCGTCTCTTTGCATAAGGCAGAGTTCAGGAGTATGTGTCTCTTCTAACCTGATAGAAAAATATTTCCTGAAAGAAATGAGGTGTGAAGAATAGATTACAAGACAAAGGAGAAGAGAGTGTAGTGAAGGTGTCCCGTTGCCCCCGTGAGGCTGCTCACTGCCAAGCTGGTGATCATGGAAATGTGTCTAGGTACTCTCAGACTCACAAAGGAGTTCAGAAAGCCACCTGCTGGCTTAACGGGGACTCTTGTGTCCTGGGTTTCTTTTAGCTGAGGCATGAGAGAAATGTTTCCTAATTAAACAGTATAACACCATCAGTTAACTTGTTCACCAGTCAGTTGTCTACTTCTCTCAGCTTCTCAGTAGAATGTAGTTTTTGGCATAATCACGTTGCTGTTTGGCTGGTTAACTTAGTTATTGGCACCTAATTTCCCTTCACAGTAGACAGGCAACGTCACCAGGCATGGCATTTGCGAGGGAACATTCCCTCACTTCTAAACCTCTAAGGACAAAACGTATCCAAGGTTCACTTGCTTTCTGAGCAAATAAATTCTGTAAGGCAAATCCTTATCAACTGCTCCTTGTAATAGGTCAGTTCTTACAAAAATGTAACAATTACTCCATAGTGCCGGTAAAGCGGAACTCTCTTGACGCAAAAGCACCCCTCCCCCACAAGGAGCTGAAAAGCCAGACGAGGTCTCACTTGAGTCAGGATGGCATAGCCCTCCAACAAGATAGCGCCAGATAAATTCTGATTCTGAATTTAAGATGTGAGAGTGATAAAGACCTTCTGCTAAGCACCCACACCAGACTGTCCTCACGAGCGCCTGCTGAAATGCCGCTGTCATGCTTGTTTTTGTGAAGTTAATTATTAAGAGCTATTCTAGGAACTGCAGCACGCATATTTATTCCTGACTTGGTACAGCAGCCTTATTTGAATTGTGCTTCTATTTTATACATTTTCCGAGTTTCTCAGGCAAAGTTTAGAAAAAGGAAAAATTAAACTTTACTCTCAATACAGGTGGGGTTACTTCGACAGAAACTGGACAGTCTGGAAAAATGTAATTTAGCAATGACTCAGAATTATGAAGGACAACTGCAAACCCTAAAAGCTCAAGTAAGAGAACTTTTCCACCGTTTAATTCCACACATTTTGATATGTTTCTGACCTAAAAATTCTGTTGATTTTATTAAAACTCATTGTTTTAATGCAAGCTGAAGTTCTTATGTTTTAATTATATATTGTACATTTTCATTGCTTCCTATGTACTGATTTTGCCCCTTTCGCTAGACTATTAGCTTCAGTACTTCTTTCTCAAGAGAGATGTTAATTAATTAAATGATAATAAGTAGCTGTGAACAACAACAACAAAATTGTCTTCTGGGACTATTACCACCTAATAGGAATGTCTTTTATTCCCTGACAATTTAAACTATGGAAGTTTGGTATGACAAAATAGGTGACTGGGAAAACAAAACTGATCTTCATTATCTTGTTACTAGTAGAGTGTTTCACAGTGATAGCACCTCTGCATGTGTGGTGCAAAGGGATACTAATTTCTCAAGTATCCCTGTCTCTCCCCAAGTGCTGGCAAGCAAACAGTCCTCCCTCCCTTGCCACAGACAGAACACAGGCAGTAATCATCCGAGCATGTCAAATCCAACAGATGCGGCATCCTTGTATAATCTAGCGAGTGAGTCACTGGGAAACAGGATTCCATTATGAGATTTTACTTCACAATCAACGTTTTTCGAATTGCAAAGATTTCAGACATCATAATATAGCCAAAAGAATCCAAAGTAGCTGAAGCCCCTCAAGTACTTTTCAGAGAGAGGATCTGGCATTAAAATCAGAATATAAAACATTTGACGCCATTTAACAAGGCCCAACTTTGTAAGACTAGCTTAGTCTATCTAGACATTTTGCCTGCAATTCAAGTTAAGGCCACTAGATGGTAGCCTGGATTATGAAATTATACAGTTTCCCTGGCTGAGCTCATTAGCATTTTTAACAATCCATCTCGGTTTTTCTATAAAGATAAAGCTACAGAATAACAGCAAATGTGTTTCACTGTAATGATTCAGTGTAAGCAAAGAGATAAAAATCTGGAATAAGTTTTAAAAACTACAAAAATCTACCAGGGTACTTCAAAAAGTTTGTGAGAAAAATAAAAGCTTATGGGAAAATGGAATTAAAAGACAGGTTTATTTGAGGGCAAAAGACAAATTTAAATCCATGCAAAAGTTTGTCATAATATGCATTTTCCATGAACTTTTTAAATGAAAAAACTACGCATTAATTTCAATTTTTTTGCATCCAAATAAATGTACCTTTTCATTGCATTTTTTTCCATGACCTTTTGAAAGTACTGTTTACCAAATCTTTAATTTCTGGGTGTTTTTATCACCTTGTAAAACGTTCTGTTTGTATGGGTATTTGGCAGTTACTTGATAGTATAAATCCTTGCCATTTGACATTTTTCAGCTCTTACTATTTTATTGACAGCTGGTTTTCAGTGCTACCCAACAAATAATTTTATGATAGTTTCATGAAAATTTGTTGTGGAACACTAATAATGAGAGTTTAGGAAATGCTGTTTAAGTGGAGCTAATGCTGGCGAAGTTAATATTCCTCCTCTCCTGAGAGTTATGGTGCATGTTAGCACATTGCAGGCTGTAAGGAGTCCTGCATTAAGCAAATCCACTTAACCTTTTTAATCCATCATTTTCCAAAGGCATTGGACCTTGGAATCCTGTGGTTTTTTTTTTTTAAGTATTTATTTATTTACTTGAAAGAGATACACAGAGAAAGAGAAACAGAGAGAGAGAGAGAGAGAGAGAGAGAGAGAATCTTTCATCCACTGGTTCACTCCCCAGTTGGCTGCAACAGCCGGAGCTGTGCCAATCCAAAGCCAGGAACCAGGAGTTTCTTCCTGGTCTCCCAGGTGGGCACAGGGCCCAAGGACTTGGGCCATCTTCTACTGCTTTCCCAGGCCATAGCAGAGAGCTGGATCAGAAGTAGAGCAGCTGGGACTCAAACTGGTGCTCTTATGGGGGCCGGCGCCTGCAGTGCTTTCTGTGTTTTTAATTAAAACCTATTAACATCCCTGTAAGCAAGTATTTCACAAAGTATACTTTGGAAATTGTTTTTCAGAGAACTTACTAATTCCATGGCAACTTTCTGCTTCACTCTCCCCCTACCCTACCCTCCCCCCTCGGTTAAAAAGAAAGGAAGGGGGGCCAGCACTGTTGGCATAGTGGGTTAAACCTCCGCCTGCAGTGCCGCATCCCATATGGTGGTGGTTCAAGTCCCGGCTGCTCCTCTTCAGATCCAGCGCTCTGCTATGGCCTGGGAAAACAGTAGAAGATGGCCCAAGTCCTTGGGCCCCTGCACCCACATGGGAGACCCAGAAGGGGCTCCTGGTTCCTGGCTTTGGATTGGCCCAGCTCCAGCCGTTACAGCCATATGGGGAGGGAACCAGCGGATGGAAGACCTTTCACTCTGTCTCTCCCTCTCTCTGCCTGTAACTCTGCTTCTCAAATAAATAAATGAATGAATATTTTAAAAACATAAAAGAATAGAAAGGAAGAGATTTAGGGAGGGAGAGGGAAAGAGAAGGACAGGACAGAGGGGGAAAATGACACGGATAGGACAGGATTTGGGCTAGTGTTTAAGATGCCTCTTGGGAAGCCTGCCAGGGTTTGAATTCCAGCTTCTTCCTCCAGCCTCCTGCTAGTGGACCTTGAGAGGCATTAGGTAATGTCTCAAATACCTGGGTCCCTCTGGCCCAGGTTCAGGCCTAGCTGTTGCAGGGCATTTGAAGAATGAACCAGTGGATGAGAAATCTCTGTCTCTCTGTCTCTTTCCCTCTCTGCTTTTCAAATAAAAGAAGCAGAGAAGTACTCCGTGCTTGAGTAAGTAATATGTCAGATTTCTAACCAGAAAATGGTGTCTTATAGAAAATATGCTCTTGCTACTGCTTGTCACTCTATTGCTTCCTACTTTGAAATTCCTGGTTCATTTAAAATGTTTTTTCTAAAACATCCTAAGGGTACATTTTACTGTTACATTCTGCTTTGAATAGCTCAAATCTGTCAAAACTTTCTTGTAGAAACTGCTTTCCTTTTTTAAAAGGGAATATTTTCTTTTCTTTCTAAGCATTATAAAGCTATTATATATACACATACACATGCATGTCTATATATCTGAGACTTCCATTTCTGGAACAATAGAGTAGAAGGAAGCCCTTTTCCCTATCCCACTAAATACAGCAAAAAAAAAAAAAAAATCCTGGACATTATTTATAAAACAACACAAGAAGACTTTGAGAAGTATTGAGAAGAGAAATTGGCCAGGGACCTTGGGACACAAAGAGTGACACAGTAGTGAGTTCCTTGGGATTTCTTTTCGCCTTTTGTATCCCAAACTGGGTAACAGAGAAACTTTCAAGCTGGACACACCAGTTGTGAAAGCAAGCAAACAAAAAGAGCCCCAAAGAAAGCCTGCTGGCTCCAGACAAAAGACTCGGAAGGAGACAGCCTGGCAAGATAAAACACTTTTAGATAATAATATCTCTAGCTCCAGCCAAACACCATAGTGGGGGGAAAACTAGCCCCACCGCTACCAGCAAAAATGGAGTAGCAAACCTAGATTTCTACCCTTACCAGACTACAGCAAGGTAGTCCGCCCCTGCCTACATGGTGCCAGGGAAGAGTAAGTGGACAGCCAGAATCTTCATCACCACTAGACGTCAGCAAGACCTTCCCCAGCTCACACTGTCAGTGGAGACCACGTCCACCTCCCTGGTGGCAATGAGGTACCTCCCCCCTCTCCTCTCAGGGATGGTTTCAGTGGAAACCTAGTGAGGAGACACTGCATCATAGTGGCCACTCATTCCACGGTATCACTGGAAGCCATGTAAGAAGCAGTAACAAGGCACTGTACCCCTCCAATCAAGGCAGAGTCAATGCAAGGCAAGTGGGAGCCCACCCTCCCACTCCCAGGCAGTAAAAGGGGCACCCTCAATGGACGCCAGTGGAGGGCAAGGCAAGGCCCAGACTCCCACCGCCACTCAGCACCGAGGTGGTGCCTCATCTTCCCTGCTGGGACACTGTCAGAAGGGGACTGCTGAAAGGCAAGATTAAAATGGAATGCACAGTGTCGTAACATACCCCACAAAAATGTCCAGGTCACTCATCATAGCAAGAATCAGGAAGATCTCAACTTGAATGAGAGAATGCAATCAGCGGATACAACACCAAGATGACACAGACGTTAGAATTGTCTGACCGAGATTTTAAACCAGCTGTTATAAAGATGCTTCAGTGGGGCTGAAAATGCTACAGTGGGCTGACGCTGTGGGGTAGCAGCTAAAGCCACCACCTGCAGTGCCAGCATCCCATATGGGCACCGGTTCAAATCCCGGATGCTCCAATTCTGATACAGCTCTTTGCTATGGCCTAGGAATACAGTAGAAAGTGGGTCAAGCCCTTGGGCCCCTGAACCCACATGGGAGGCCCGGAATAAGCTCCTCGCTCCTGGCTTTGGATCAGCCCAGCTCTGGCCATTGAGGCCATCTTGGGGGTGAACCAGTGGATGGAAGACCTCTGTCTCTCTCTGCCTCTGCCTCTCTATAGCTCTGTCTTTCAAACAAATAAATAAATCTTAAAATGAGTAAGTAAATAAATACTTCAGTGACCATCGTTTGATAGTAAAACAAACATGCTTGAAATAAATGAAAAATTGAAAGATTTTAGAAAAGAGATAGAAATATAATGAACTAACCTGGAATTTTATAACTGAAAAATATAATAACCAAACTAAAAGATCAGTGTATGGGCTCAAAAGCAGAACGGAGAGGACAGAAGAAACAATCAGTGGGCTTAGAGATTGTACAACAGAAATTACCCAATATGTACAACAGAAAGATTAAAAGAAAATGAACATTAGGGGCATGTGATATTATTGCAAAATATTTACAATGTATATAATCAGAATCCCATAAGAAGAGGAGAAAAGAGAATGAAGATTAAAAAGTGTTCAAATAATGTTCCTAATAAAGTTTCCCAATTTGACCAAAAAAAATGTAAACCTACAGATTCAGGAAGCTAAGTGAA